ATATATATATGTAGTGTGTGTGTTGTTAACACGACATATATACACTACTATATATATATACATATATATATATATGTTGTGTACACTATACATATATATATATATATGTGTGTACATACCATATATATATATATATATATATATATATATATATATAAAATATATATATACATATACATATAAATATATATAATATGAATATATTTATACTTTATTAGTTACCTGTATACGCCGCACACACAAAAACTATACATACACGCACTCGCACACACACACTTCACACGTTCACCATAGTAATGATTGGTGCACCAATATTTGAGGCATTAACTATTAGTGATGCAGGCATGATCACTAATATGGATAGATTTTTATTTTTATTTGTATTTAGTTACGTGCACACGCCACATACAAAAAACTATACATACACGCATATAACACACACACACTGCACACGCACACACGTTCACCATAGTAGTGATTGATGCATCAATATTTGAGGCATTAATTATTAGTGATGCAGGCATGATCACTAATATGGATAGATTTTTATTTTTATTTGTATTTAGTTACGTGTACACGCCACATACAAAAAAGCTATACATACACGCATATACACACACACACACACTGCACACGCACACACGTTCACCATAGTAGTGGTGCATGCACTAATATTGTTAGATTTATATTTATATTTGTATTTATTGACGTGTACACGCCACATATACACAAACTAGACATACACGCACTCTCTCTCACACACACACTACTTACACACACATTTTCACCATTGTAGTAATTGATGCACCAATTATTAGTGATGCATGCATTGTTCAAAAACCATAACACAACTTACACGCTTTTCTTTGTTGGAAGATTCCCTCTCATATCACGCAACCGCACAAAGGTTGAAAATGCTCAAGGTTGTAAAATTCCATCCACAGTTTTATTGTATTATACTTTCGATAATGTGATACAAGTAACAACTAACAAGTAAGTAGCGCACATCATATTTATTAACAGCCTGTACGCATGGTATTATTTAGGGTACTTATTTAGCTAGGTGAATGTTTGTACCAGTATATGGGTGTACTGGCATCAACCAATAGATCGAGGCGCTTGAAGGTTATTCGAGGCTCTCTGAAGTCTGAGGGAGGTCTAGGGTTGAAATCATACCAATCAACAGTGGTTCTAAGGTTTGACGTAGTGAAATGTGACTACTTATTCCAATAAAATTCTAATGTATTACAGGCCTTGACATGATCTTGACCTTATTGACTAATGGGATCTATTTCTAATGTCAAGCTTGGCATTTTGTGATGTGTCTATTGGTAAGCTTGACATCCCTTGATGTGTCTACTACCAATAGATTCTATGTCTTTGCCCCCTACATAAGTAGGACATGAAAGAATTGAATACTCAAATATATATACATATACGTTCAGCGTTTAACGTTTAACGGATTTATATATATACGTTGCAACGTAAAACACGAGGTCTGGACTAAATAGAGTCCAGAGGCCCGGGCCCGCCCGGAGAGGGTCATGCTACAATAAAAATGTATATATTAGTAGTATGTACATATGTATGTGATATGTTCATATGTATCTACATACCCGGCCTCAGTCCCTCATGAGTCATTACCATCTCTACTCTCTCCTCTAGTAGAGAGAGAGAGAGAAGAGAGAAAAAAGAAAATAAA